CTGCAGAACTGCAGTCAGCTGAACTAGCCTGCAGTACTGCATTTAACCACTGCGCCACCTCGGCTCTATTAAATTGTGATTGACTTTGTTTTCCACCCCCCCCCTCCTTTGCTACAACAGAGATAGGTCTCTACCTGCTGCCGTTGGCTAAGACTAATTGAAAGCAGAAGGAAATGACAGCAATAGCAACAATTATTTAAGCATTTGCTCAGAAAGATACGCTGATTTTGGGTTCCATTTGTTGATATGTCTGGGCCAGTTAATCAGTGTCTTGCTTACGATTAGAGACAATACTGGACAAATGATTCTAAGCATGCAAACTGATAAAAAGTGGACTCATTTGTCTGATTGTCTTGTTGTTTTGCAGATTGTAAGGTGTTAAATAGACAGGCTGTGTTACGTTTGCAGATTGTAAGGTTAAATAGACAAGAGTATGTTACTTTAATTTGTTAAATGCTACCAAATTAAGAAGTGTACATTGTACCTATGCATTAGGAAAAGAAGGTTTGTGTTGTTATTCGTAGGCTAAGAAAAAGTGCATCCACAAGATATCATCCTTTATTGGAATTCAGTGGTGGTTTGTATAAGAAGAGTAGAAAGAACGCACGTGGAATTATATTTTCCTTATTTTTTTTCAGGATTTGTAATAATTGTCTTTTGTTAAAAAAAATAACCACAACATTGGATAGCTTTTCTTTAGGTTAAGTCATATAGAATCCTCAGAGTAGAATACCAACAAAGTAATTGAGTTTGCTTCAGTTCTCATTCTGCCCTCCCTATGGGACAACAATTTTGAGATTTGTATTCTTTATGGAATTCAAAAAAAACATAGACAACTTTATTCTTTGGGAATTTAGCTTACTGGAATGCTAATGTTTTAAAATAAGCCCTATTTCATACAGCTTTAATATTTATATTATAATAATACCAAATAATATATCTTACTTATTAGGATTTTAAACATTAGAAACATATTTTTGCAAGCCATGTTTTTTGAATTATTAAGTAAAAATAATCTACAATACAATAAATGATAGTATGTTAAATATATTTAATATATTTAATATTGATAATTAATACATTGTCTTATGTTTTCTGTGCCCCCCCCTCCCCGGAATTCCCATATTCTTAGACAACATGAAACTGTTATACCAAGTGAACTGCCACTTATTCAGGAGGTTACCACTACACTACGGGAATGGTCCATAATATGGCGACAGCTTTATATTGTAAGTATTGTAGGTTTATTTAGAATGCCTCTTTGTAGGATAACCAAGGAGTTTAATCTATAAACCAGCCAAGCTAAAGAAACCAATTAAGTACATGCCAATGATTTGAAATAATTGCTGAAGAAAAGGAATATGCTTTGCATATTAACTTTCCCAAGTAGAAACTCTTTCATTCCCTATTAAAAAGACAATCGGTACTGCAGGCCTGTAAATTACAACTACTCAAAACTGACTACTCTCCTACAGTTGTACTAGGTAAAAAGATATGTGGATTGTTTCTAGATAAGGAAATTTAATTTGCTTGAAGAATGGAACTACTGGACAGAGTAGGAGAAGCCACCAACCTCTGGGTCATCCTGGTTCATTATTGAACTGCTCTTACCATTAACATTTTTTCTTGATGTCCAATTGAAATCTACTTATATGGTATTCAAATTCTTTGTTTCATCTTCTGGAACAACTCTGAACAATTTAGCCTTGTCTTTTATGTGACATACAAATACTTGAATACAGCTATTATGAGTCTCCATAGTCTCTTTTTTCCATGCTAAGCATATTCAAAGCATATATATATATATACAGTTGCGCAAGTACAGGAGGTAATTGCACTCAGCTGGTGGTCATTACGCTCCTCTCCAGACTATAAAAGGACTGCTTGTGCATCCTTTTGCAGAAGTCAACACAGGAACTAATGTTGGAGAACATTATTGTGAGCTTGGCAGGCTGGATTGCTGCCAT